TAATGTATATTAGTTTTAAAATGTGTAATAATAGAATGTACTGTATTATACAAAGTGTATTATACAAAGTGTATTATACAAAGTGTATTATACAAAGTGTATTATACAAAGTGTATTATACAAAGTGTATTATACAAAGTGTATTATACAAAGTGTATTATACAAAATAAAAATTCAAAACCTTGTATTTTTCCAACACTGCTTAGAATTCACTTGAATATCACCAAAAAATAGCTTAAAAGTTATTAATTTGAGTAGTATTTATAATTTGGTGTATATTTAAATAATATAGTTTACTATATCATGATAATACAAATTAAACAATAAAGCAGATTAGTGTTATTGAGTATTATTTATTCAGTATTTAGGAGAGAGAGAGAGAGAGAGAGAGAGTCTTAAACATCGGCGATAATAACTGATAATTATAATTATTTGGTCAATCGATACATTGGATTGAAAAATAGTGAATTACAATATTATATTACAAATGTTTAGATTATATAAGACTTTGAAATTGTTTTAATTTACTATTAAATCTAATGATTGTTAAAAGTATGGGTAGATATGGTGTATGCATTTGGGACAGTATTCGGTTAAACAGGTATTCCACTCATCAGTTTATATTAAATATCCGTTAAACCATACATTCAATTTAAAAATGACCAAGCACATAATTGTAGATTATATTATACTCAACATTATTATAACTAACTAGATAATAGCATCGACATAAAATAGTTGACTAATATCTACTATTATCTAGTTAGTTTTACAATTCATCAAAAATGACCAATTATAATAATGTTGAGTATAATATAATCTACAATTATGTGCTTGGTCATTTTTAAATTGAATGTATGGTTTAACGGATATTTAATATAAACTAATGATTGAAATACATGTTTAACCGAATACTCTCCCAAATGCATACACCATATCTATCCATACTTTTTACATTGAATCTAATGTAAAGATAAAGATAATAATAATTAATAAAATCGTTGCAATCATTGCTGTTGTTTAAGATTTATCTTGAATTAATGTTGTTATTGAATACAGTTTTAAAAAATCACTTTAAAAATAACTAAAAAGTTATTTATTTTTATATTAAATTAAAAAGTTTTTAAATAATTATTTATTATAATTTAGCTTTTTATGCATTGCTATAATAAAATTTGAATTTTATGAAATAAAAAATGAAATAATTAATAAAATTGAACATAAAATTCAATATTAATAATATTTTTAATTTAATAGATTTTCACAACAATAGTGACATCTTTTCATTTAAATATAAACAACAGTTATATTTGCAAACAACAGATGTCGACATTATTTCAAATAATCAAATAATTTAATAAATAAATTCAATTATTATTAATAATTATTTTTATTAAATATTATTTTAATAAAAGATAACTGAATTTTCTTAATGATATTGACTAAAATTAAATACTTTTATTATTTATTATTTTAATTAAACTAAATTGATTTAAATTTGATTAGTATTTTATTATATGATAATATATAATTTGTAAATATTTAAATAAAATAAAAATTATATTTATATTTATTAAATAAAATAAACGCCAAACAAATTATTGAAATGTATAAATACAATGCAATATAATATTAATATAATAATAATGGGATAACAGAGTACCAGTGGTTTGACATAACAGTCAAACATAGTATGTGTTTATATAATAATAAAAGTATTCGTAATATTTAGTTAAAGCGTCTAATCTATAGATTGGTCGACAAAATGACAGCATTGGGACTGAAATTCCTGAGATTCGAGATTTTTGGACGAAATATTGCAAACAGTTTTGTTATGTATATTAAAAGCCTAAACACAATCGTTTAAATGACATAAAATAAGAAATGTTTTAAATGCCTTAAGATATACGCTTAAGCTTACCATAAGTACTATTGCCATAAACATTAGACTTATAATTAAGTTTATATTTTGGACAAATGATAAACTATTAGAGCCATAGGCATAACATTCTTGTGATATATGGCACACACACACAAACACACACACACACACACACACACACACACACACACACACACACACACACACACACACACACTTACTGCACTCATTTGACTCAACATTTTATATAATATGTAATCTTTTATATGTGTCAAACTGTGTTTGAATATGAAAGTATGTAAGTAGTAGTCTGTAAATTATAAATAAAATGTATTTTTGTAAAACAAATTTTATATGAATATAAAATGAGATGTTTATTAAAAATATTTTTATGTAAATTCCAGATAAATATTTAAAATTTTAGATAATTTTAAATATTAAATTAAATTATCACAATTTTTAAAAGTGTTAAACAAGTTTTTTACTTAATTTTATGCAACTTAAATTGATTACTATATTTTATTATACTTATATATATATGATTTAGAATGAGTATTTAATAAGTAATAAAATTATAAAAATAGTCTATAATATAACAATTTATAAAAATTTTATTAAAAATTTATATTATATATTTAAAAAATTAAATCACATTTCAATTTAAAAATAACATTTTATTAAGTTTTAAAATATGTAAGAAATAATGCAATTATCGTATATTAAAACATAATTTTGATGCTTTTGTTTGTTTAAAAATAGTAACAAAATAGAGTTATTAAATTAAATTGTTATGTAAAGCACTTTTAATTGTAAATTTTGTTGCATTTTCATCATATTTTGTTACACAAACATATCTCAAATATCCATTTTGTAGACATTGAGTGTTTAAACCATAGTTTATACAAAATATCTCAATGTGTTTGTGATGTTATTTCCAAAACAAAAGATTTTTTGTCTAATAAAAAATAATAAAATAACAGTAATAATAATAATAATAATAATAATAATAATAATAATAATAATAATAATAATAATAAACGACAGAAAATATTTAAGTTACGCGACTTATTTTGGGTCCTATTGTTTAGATGTTTTGCCGTATTATTACATTCATTGATAGACAAAGTATGAGATGGAGTGTTACTATTAGTTAATGCATTCATTGATTTGATAACATCGGGCGTAACGCATATTATTAAAAAAGGCGCAAACATTGCATTTTTCAATGCTTTTTGTCATACAAACTATTACAGGGTTTTGTAAAATGAGTTTTTTGGTAGGCATTCCTTAAATTGATATAATACTAGTCGTCATAATATAACTTAATTTAACTGACATTTTCTTATAAGTTATTTACCGCACATCACTAAACAACAACTCCCAAAAAGATAATAATTTTATATATAATATAAACTGTTATACAATATTACTCAACACTGTGTGCGAGTTTGTATAAGTGAATATTTTACTATTTTACAAAGTTTACTAAAATATATTTTTAAAAAATTTTAATAATAATAAATTGTTTTTATGCTATAGTCTCTTGAATTGGTTATATAAAAAATATTGAATGTATTATATCTTTAGATGCAGTATTAGAAAGATGTTGTAATGTTGTACAACAAAAATATAAGGAATATTGAAATTCTATAAAATTTATAATATATATCTTATATATTCATTGAAAATGTAAAGATTTTACATAATATCATATTTGATAAATATTTTAATATAGATTAAATATCATGGTATTTTGTAATCATATTAATAGAATTATCGTATATTCTATATTTTATCATTTAATTCATGTATATTGCATCTAATTTTTGTATTTAGATTTTGAATAATTAAGAAAAATATTTTTTATGTTATTTAATCTCATAATATAAATATAAATCAATTTTTTCTGTAAAACATTTCATTTTAGTTTTACGGTAACTACAGTATTAATATTTATTAGGAGCACAATTACAGTACATTAAAAAATAATGTATTTTGAAAATAAATGTATCATTTTATTTGAATATGAATTTGTGTTACAATTTTAGTCTATTTGTTGCAGTCGTGAAACACAGACAAATCAGACATGAAATGTATGGTTAGTGCTGTCACTTATATAGTGGTTTTAGACAAAAGATTTACCCATAAATAGATTGTCATATATTTGCTAAAATAGACAAAATAGTATTAATTATATATATTTTTATTAAATACAAAATAATATTATGAAAAATAAATAATTATGTTTTTAATATACCGATAATTGTATTTATTGTTTATACTGTATTATGATTTTTCAATTATCATAGAGTTATTTACAAAAAAAAACAGTTAATATCCTTTTAGCAAAAGGCTTATACATTACAAATTGCTATATGTTTGACATTAATGTTGTGTTTGTGATGTTGTATTGTATATATCATATTTTATTATATTAAAAAATATAGTATATCAACATTATAAGCCCAATGTTATTTAAAATTATAGTATTGAGACAAACAGTTTAGTGATCTCACTGAGCACACAGATAATGTATTTATATTAAAATGCATAAAATTAATAATATATATATATAGAAGCACTTTCTAATAATAATATGTTATATAATATTATTGTTATATTTTATAAACTCATATATAGAAAGACTTATTGAATAACACGTATAGTTTATAGCTAACAGTGCATAGTTTAGTCAAAGGCAGCGGTGAGTGCTTTGATATAACCGATAATAAGCAATATTACAAACTAACTGTCAGAGAGCAGAACTGGAGAATAGATAAAATAATCTTCAAATGGCAGCATAGAGTAGGTGTGGCCTATGTGTGGATCACCAGTTTGTCACTCCTACCAGTGCTGTCCTTACAGATCAAGTTTGAATGCTTTTCAGAGTAATGGTTGTGTATTTCATCACTAGTCCTCGTGAAGACCCTATCGGACAAACAGATAGACAGACAGTCAACTAAATTATATAAATATAAATATATGTGTGACTGAAAAGACTTTTAAATTAAGATCCAATAGTAGAGTGAAAATTGTGTGAATAAATAAAGTGTAAACAGAGAGACACTTAAGTGTTATATAAGAACATACGATACGTTGCCTTTGGGTGCTAATAGTCATGAGCTGTTCCCAAGTGATGTATCAGCCTTATTCAAGTTACTTTCCATACCCGCAACGGCCATCACCGGCCAGTGGTCATCACCACCACCATCATCACCATCAGTCACCAACTACTGCTTCCATATTTGGCGCCACAAGTTTCACGCCAATGGACACAACAGGCAGTCGCTCAGCACTAGCTTTCAGTGACAACAGTTCGCTGTCATCAACATCTTCACTGATGACGGCCAACAATCATACAGTTGCCATTAGCAGCACCGGGTCGTCCAGAAAACTACTCGACCCGTCGTCTCCACCCTTAACACTCCAACCCTTACAGTCATCGACATCTAATTCCCGTAAAAACATGGAAACATCACCTAAAGAATCTATACCTAACACAAGAGCCTCGTCTTCTTCTTCATCATCTGCTGGAGGTTCAGGTGGAGGCGGGAGTGGACCACAACTAAGTACACAATCCGGTGCTAATAATAATAATAATAATAATAGTCTTAGAGACAATGCCAGTGATGCTCAGTACTTATCCGCCAATTGTGTTGTTTATACATATTTTTCTGGTGATACTTCATCTGTTGTCGACCAACACTTCAACAGAGCTCTTAATCAACAGACATACAACTCAGCTAATGATAAGCAAACTAAAGGTATTATTTAATTATTTATTGCGATAATTATTTATATATTTTAAAGTAAAATCAATTACAGTATCATTTATAAAGTTTAATTCATTATTATATATAATTTATATATACTGTAAATCTTACACAATGTGTCACATTAATAACAATCATGAAATATAGAAATTGATTATTACTTTTAAGTTTAATATAACTTAAAATATTATATAAGTTTTGTTATTCATTATTTGAATGCATGGTATGTACTGTATGTTTATAATAGATTTACAATTGCGGTAACTTTAGTGAATATCGTTTATTATTTATAAAACTGACCCAACATTTACATACATAAATTTAAATCAACATTTATATAGTGCTCTTAAGTACATTTAATACTGTAGACTATTTAACACAAAATTTTATTTATGTATGCTAAATTTATTTAATATATTTATATATATCAAATTAACTGCTAAAAATAAGATATATACTATAAATTGTAAACATTGTAACAATATTTTTTAATTGAACATTTTATATAATAAGTACTAGTTAAATTTAAAATGTTATATTATATGAATATTTTGATAAACTTTTTATTGTTACAGTATTTTTAATTTTTCTAAATTAGTGTTTAAAATATATAACATTTTTACATATTATATCATATAGAGTATATATATATAAGCTTAATTCTTAAACACACACACACACACATATATATATATATATATATATATATATATATATATATATATATATGAATACATAGAGTGGAAAGTGAGAAGCATGGAAAGGGAGAGTGTATGGGTCAGTGCCGACCAGACCTCAAGTTTCCGTCTTTTGATGACTTATCAGAATATTCTGTCACTGAATTTGATACTAAAGTGAGGGACCAAACGTTAAATACACGGCACATATGTAGAGAAATATGGACCCAATTTTCTATGTGCATAGTCTACGACACTTCCTCTTATAATAAACAAATGCAAACACCAATACATACTATCGCCTAATGTTTAATTAAATTCAATCTCTTACCCTTTGATTTGCAATTTACTAATTTGAACGAAATTCAGATATGTTTTTCTTTGAATACAATAGTTTATCTCGTCTTTGAATTAGTTTTACAATATATATATATATATATATATATATAAAACTAGTTATTTTACTATAAGACAAAATTGAAATAAATAAAAAAAAACTATTTATATGTATTACAATTAAGTCTAAATATAATAATCATAAAACTATAAATACTATTACAATTATTATTATCGTAAGATTTTATCAGTATATAATAATCTTATTCAAAATATCATTATGTTGTTTCTCAGTGTGTCAGATATGTTTGCATTGTATATATAATTATAAAAATCATGAATTGCTTAATAATTTTATTTTTATTGAATGACATGTCGAATAATATAATATTATATGCACATTGTATCTACAGTATGTAAATGTGTGTTTGTTTATGTGTATAAATACAGTAGTTATTATTTACTATATTATATGATATAATAGTATATAAATTATTATCATTTATAGAGCTACTGTAAATATAATTGCAATCTATCAAATATTATAGAAATAAATAAATAATCTATTTTAGCATCATATTATATTATAAATTCAAATTATATGATATTATATGTATAGTATGTAAGTTATTTAACTATTTAACTTTATAATTCTTATTTTTCTTTTAATATTTAAACCTATTAAAATATTTAAAAGTATTTAGTATGCTAAATAATTTTTTATTATAAAACATTTTAGAATTTTTAAAACTAAATTTTTAGTTATATCTATAAATTATTTTAATATATTATAGTTTGCTTTTAAACTTACTTTTAAATTGAAGTAAATACAATTTTTTAAAAAACAATTAAACATTTGTCTATATACTATAAATATCATTTATGTTTTTTAATACTATTATTGACTTAAATCTAATTTTATATTTAAATTTAAAAGTAAATATAAGTAATGAATTTTATAATTAATAATATTTTCTAAAGTAAATGCTATAAAATTATTTTTATTTAAATATAAAACAGTTATCATTAAGTGAATTAAGTTAATAAAATTAAGTGTTATCATGATAACTTTTTTGTTTAAAAGTTAAACATTATTATTTGTGAATTTATATAATTATACAAATATGACAGTAAAATATAAGTTTGTCAAAGTTCTTTACATAAATTATAATAAAAATATATATATTTGTTTTATTTGTAATTATTTTAATCACTGCTATAGAAAAAGAATATAGACATAAGTTGTTTTGTTTTAAATATTAAAATGTCTATAAAATGAGTTTTTTAATTATAATTTATAAATGATACAAAGAAATTAAAATGCATAATTAAATTATTTCTATTTTTATAAAAAGATATTATTGTTTTGAATAGTTGTACTATAAATGTTATACATTATATATATCGTAGTCTACATTTAAATATATAGCTTTTTCATTGAATTTTTCTAATAAATAAAAATCAAAGGCTTTTTCATATTACTGTATTATATTATATACAATGAAAATACACTTATACTGTATCCATATCCATGTGTCCGTTCATTAGGAGCTACATTTGGACTGCTTTTTAATTATGTAAACTCCTTAAAAGTAATTACTTTTAACTATATATTTTGAGACACAAAAAAGTTACTGTAATTCAAGTCGTTAAGACATTTGGCGTTTGTATTACTCTCTCTCTCTCTCTCTCTCTCTCTATATATATATATATATATATATATATATATATATATACAAACATACACTTATTCACTCACTCACTAACTCACTGTATGTGTGTTTGTTTGCCGCAAAACCTATCGTTCATTTGGGCACTCATTTTAATGATGCGTGTCTTGGGATAAACAGTAAAGATTAAATATATGTGTCGTCTTTCAAAGACTTATTTATATATAAAACCAAGTTTTTTGTTTGCAATTTTGTTATCTATTATTGTAGTAATTTTTAAATTTTTTTATATAAACATAAATTTTTGAAAAAGATAATACTTAATAATTACGATAGCGATAAAATATTCTACATCATTTATATATTAATTTATTTTCATTACCCGTTTAATTTTAATTATTCATAAAATTTAAAAATGCTCTATAATTTAGTAAACATTATGGAAACGAAATTAGATAATAATTTACTACTAAATGACAAAAACAAATTATTTGTATAATTAACTTAAAAACACACTGTTTTTTGCAATGTTTTTTTAAAATATAAATATTTTGAATCGTTGATACACAAATTCAGTATAAATTTTGCAAAAAGATAAATATATAGCAATTGAAAGTCAAAAGTATCTGTAATATATAAAATACAAAACACATAAATGTAAATCATTATTTTTTTGTTTTGTTTGCAAAATTTTGTTTCAAAGTTATTAAAACTCGTAGTCTTGTGTCAAACAATGCCATTAAAAGCGCTTCAAATGTTAGTTTCAGCAAATTTTCAAAACAAACTCATAAAAATTATTGTTAATTATTGTTTGCTAAGTTTATATAACATAAATAGTATGTATCTTACATTATACTTGATTTATATACAATTAGTTTTTATAAATATAAACCAGTAAAATAACTGTTTTTATGTGTAATGGTAATACAGATATACCGGTGCCAATGTCTCAGCGAAGTTTTCCGCCATCATTTTGGAATGTCAACCATCAGCCGGTGCTCTCAGCAAACCATCATTCAAGTCATACCACATCTTCATCATCGGTCTCATCGGCACTTTGTTTACCGACACCGAGCACTTCATCGTCAGCACCAATGCATGAGTTATATGCCGATGCTTACCACCATTCGGGTGCATTACACGCAGCTTCCATACATCATCAGAACGATCCCTGGCATTACACTCTATCAGCTACCGCTGCTAATCCATACAGTGCTCATCATCACCACAGGGCTGCCGCATCCATACATGACTTAAGCAGTTACTCGAGTGCCGCCAGCAATAGATTCAATGCCCAATATAGCTCACTATTGTTACAACCGGCATCTATGAGGTCAACACGTTTAACACCGGTTTCTGCCACGTGTTCGGGCTTTGATAAGTCGACAAATGATACAATGAGTTGGCCAACTACTAGCCGTTACCACGAGTCGGCCATGAACTTTGCGGCACATCCATCTATTGATCCCAGCAATTATAGTGCCAGTGCTGCCTATGGGGCCGCTATGAGTGCTGCCATGTCTGGTATGCATTACTAACTAATGTGATGATTATCTATCAATATATCCATAATACTAATATAAAAATATTTAGATCAACTTAATCTAATATCAATATTATAATTGAAATACAAATAATAAGATCAGATGTTTAATTATACAATAAGTTTTAATATAGTTTTTTATCTAAAAATATTTTCTTCTATTTATTTTGTTTTTCATTTATTTTTGTCGACATTATTACCAAAAAATTTGGTCAATTCATAGATCAAAACAACTTTTACGAGTTATACAAACTATCGACGAATCAATGCATGAGATCTACATATCGATGACTGCGTCCACCAAACCATCAAAACAGATAATATTTGTCACAAATAATATTTGTCTCAAATAATTATGTGGGGTTTGCATATACCAAATGTTTAATTGACAAAAAAAAAGGGACCACATATTTGTTCATATATTTTCATTCAGGTTTCAGTACCTTATAGTACCCGTATTACTGTCAGTGCCAGATCATAGACAATATGTGAGTATTTATATTTATAGTACATATCGCTTATTAAAACAAATATAACCATAATATGTACTACTGGTGATGGTTTGGGGCAGTTTTTAAACATTTAAATAATAGTGCATGCTCATTTCTATAATAAGTATTTATTATAAATATATGATATCTACATTCATGTTACGCATTTCATATATTGCTTATAATAATTATTTAGCAATACATTATTATTATTAGATAACATACCCGGAATACACACTATTCATATATAGGTTTGAAAATGTGTAACTGAGTCTATATTTGCATCAATGCTATGATACTTGTGCTGTCTTTTTGATGATACCAGTGCTGACACGCGCAATGTCTCGGTTAACAACAAAAAAGAGCTCAATAATAGTTTTTTCCATACTTTTGCCATTTCTATCATTTCTATATCCTTTATAATCAAAACATCAATAGTCTATTGATATTAAAGTCACTTTTGAAAACATAAGTTTTTGCCCAAAATCTATTTGACATTTAATTGAATTAAGACAATTTAATTATTTAAAGTTTTAAGAATACTAAAATTATTATAAATAAAACTCATATTTAAACAAAATTAAAACAGTTGATAATTATATTTTTAATATTTATCCTAGTTTTTTTATTGTTGAATAATTTAATAATTATTATTAGTTTAAAATATTGAAATAAGTTAGTGTTGATAGAATTATATCATATATAACACTATGAATCCCTAAACTGCAATATAATATAATTTATATTAAGTATTGTATTGAAATTTGTTTCGCTATTTTCCAGTCACTCATTCAATGCTTGACTACATTTATTGCCATCACTTTTCTAATATATAGTGCGATGCCTTCAACACAATATCGCAGTGAGTGATGCCATCAAAAAGGCTCAACACATACAATACATTACAGACTTGAGTATCGCTTATATATTGTATTATTGTATTATTAGTTAACCCATACATTGTTAATGGAAAGCCTGATTCCCTGAGCACTGTGTCGACAGCATCCCCGACAACGATGACAATTAAATAATTGTCTTTTGAAGTTTAATAACACTTTGAAAGTTAATATAAATGGGATTAAACGCCTTAATATACCATTATATTTTGAATAAATTTGTGAATATATGATATTTATAATATTATTGCTTATAATTGCTTGAGTACTAAAAAAATGAGAGTAATTGTTACTTTAACTAAATGCTAAATTATAAAATTTAATAAAATCACAAATCAATAAATTTTTAAGATTTCTTTTATCTATTTTAAAACTTAATTTGGATATTTAAATTGAACTGTAATATCTATAGAAATATAATTTAAAGATTTATTTGTTGTTTAATGACAATTAATATAGACAAATAGCATATACTGTATATTACAGTACAATATCGTATATACAGTATATATATGATATGATGAATTGCCTAATAATATAGTAGAGAACTATTATTATTTTTAATACATTATTGTCAAAGTAAACATATAGTATGATATAAGACAGTTAATACATCAAATGATAAGTTCAATATTTATATTTTAGATATATATATAAATTTTTATATATACTCTTTAAGAGTAAATATATTAAATTACTAGACTTAAACTAATAAAGTTAGGACTCTTTTTACTGAAAATTTAATTTTAACTTTTTATGTTTTTAGATCAATATCAGTGTTTAGATTATTAAAGGATTTAGTGAATTAATGAGTCAATTAAAGAGCAATTCAAACCCATCATAAAAACATTTGTTTTTATTTAAAAAATAAAATAAAATTTAAGTAACAAAGATTTAATATAAATATATCATATAATTAAATTGATAATTTCATCTCGATTACTTTTTATTATCTTTATTATATATTTAATAAAAACATTGTCTAAAAATTTAAAAATTTATTATTAAATCAAATTTTAATAGTAGTAATATATTAATTTAAGTCATAATTAATTATTATTTTTTAAATAATTTGTCTTTACTATTAAACTATTAAATATAGACAGACATATCTGAGTCCATTGGATCTCTTACTTAAAAATAAAGTTATTTCTTAATGCAAAAACAACAATATTGTCTCATTAATTCTCAAATAAATATCATATATAAAAATCACAAAATAAAGCTGTCTTTAAAAATAGACTCAATTTTTTCAAGTCTTGAGAGTTAAACGCATTAATTGCCACAAAAAAGTTTGTAGTCATGTGCTGGAGATTGTGACCATTGATAGCAAACAAATCATTAATAAATACATTTCCAAAACTGAAATACTACTCATTTAATACATTAATGGTATTTTGTTTTGTAAAAAAACTACAGAAAACTTTAGTTATTTCTGAAAATACAATATATCTATATATATATATAAATTTATATTAATGATCCTGGTAGATTTCTAGCTGTTACTGTGCGTTACAGTTATTAATTTTGTGCAACGAGTTTAAATAGAAAATGAAATACTAATAAATAAATTTTTGACTTTAATTAATAGCATAATTTACTTTACTAATTACAGTTTAGAATTAATTTAATAATATTATATATGATAATAATATTAATTATATTATATTTATATATTTATTTGTAAATGTTTTACTCAATGACTATCTATATTATTGCAACATTTCTTTATATATTTATAGGACTCGACACAACAGTTCAGGACTCAAGTAAAGATCTTTATTGGTTTTGAAAACATTGATTCAATTAACCAACAAAACAAATACTACGCTTTAAAACAGACTAAAAACTTTGATAAATACTTTAAATCTGATAAACAACTCAAATATATGGTTCAAGTAATTGCGAGAAATATATTCAACAAATTATATAACAAGTGAAGGCTTATTAAACTCATCAATCAATGAAATCATTTGAAATTCATTTAAAACAAACTTATGTTAATTGATTTGAAAGAGATATCAATTCATTGATAAATAGTATAAATGATTAATAATTATAATTATTAAAATTATAATACAATATGAGTAATGCATTGTTGATATGATATTACATTTGTAATATCCATCGGTCATACCAATAGCAATACACATTAATCATTGCGAGACACTGATAAAAATGTAATTATATAATAAAATATTATCAATGTTGTTTATATAATATAATATATATTAAATATAAATACATATCTTTCTAAAATCGCCAATTTTATATGGTTTGTTAAAACAATAATTATCTTATAAAAATTATTTGTTGCATTCATATACAATATGTTTAAAGTGCTGATAAGGTATTAACCTTTTTATTATCATATATGAGCTATAAATCAATTATTAAATATTTATATTTTTAATGTAAATTATAAAAATGCATTATTTATAAAATTTGTTGTGTAGTATATTTATGACATATATTTTTTGGCTCCTCATATATTGTATTATAAAATATTGTATACACAAAAACACATAGAAATCCAATAAAGTATATACTGTGCAATATATGCTATATTGAAAACTAGACATACCATTGCAATCTCGACATACAGATAAAAGCAGTATTCAGTTTGATTGTCACAATACCCTCTTTGGTACAAACCCTACAAACTGCCAATTCATTGAAAATTAACTGTCACTAACTTATCAAAAAAGCATATTTCTCACTCACTATCTCACTATCCCCTTCATTCACTTTGCTTGATCTTTCTCTCTCTCTCTCTTTCTCTCTCTCTCTCTCTCTCTCTCTCTCTCTCTCTCTCTCTCTCTCTCTCTCTCTCTCTCTCTCTCTCTCTCTCTCTCTCTCTCTCTCTCTCACTCACTCACTCACTCACTCACACTCACACACTCACACACTCACTTACTCAATCTCCTCCCTATCTCTTAAAATGTAATTTTACTTAACTTTAAAGCAAAGCTCAATGATATAAAACCAAATATTTTTTTGTCTCGACTTATGATATGATCATATGATATGAATTGTGTTGAAAGAGACGGCAAAACAAAATCAATAGTCGGAAACAATCATATTTGACAGTAAACATCCCACCCATACGTATCATACTTACTATATAATTGACAAAAATTTATAAAAATTTACACTCTTTTGCCCAACTTTTTGAAAAAATAAAATTTTTATAGATTTAGTATCGCTTAGTGCTCTCTTATGTTATCTTTTTATTTTTATTATTTGCAAATTTTAAATACCATTAAATACTATTATTTACTGTAACTTAATTTTAATACAAACCTTTGAGTAAAAGAGTTTGGATCTAATGTTTTGATATCTGATGAGACACTAAATTCTTTGTCATAATTTTGTTTAAATATTTGTTTCATTGACTTATTGTACAACAAAGTAATGTACCGTTTTGTGAACACAACAGTGTATAAGCACTATAGTATATCTAAGGAGTTTAGTTCATTACTTACTGGCAAACAAAAATGAAACATCATTTATCATGTAATGCTATGCTCTTTCTATAACATTCAGATAGAGGAGAGAGAGAGAGAGAGAGAGAGAGAGAGAGAGAGAGAGAGAGAGAGAGACCGTAGATTACATCCCTGTTTACCCCCAAAATGTGTGCTGAGTTTTCTTCATTTTGAATACCGTTAATAGTAAGAGAGGTTTGAAAGCGTAACAAAATAGGATTCACAATATTTTATGATACATATGATGCATATCCCTACTTAAAATATAGTGAGTGAGTGAGAGAAAGTGTGGTGTGTATGTATGTATGTCTATGTATGTATGTATGTATGTATGTGTGTATGTATGTATGTATGTATGTATGTATGTATGTATGTATGTATGTATGTATGTATGTATGTATGTATGTATGTATGTATGTATGTATGTATGTATATATGTATGTGGTGTGTATGCGTGAGAGAGAGAGAGAGAGAGAGAGAGAGAGAGAGAGAGAGAGAGAGAGAGAGAGAGATTTCTCTCATTTAACATCACTAAGGATTACATATACAGTATATTCTCACATCTTGATGTGTGTGAGTCCTTGACAACAGTCAATCCTATGATCTATATCTATGATCTGCCATATTATAAGTATGTCCGCTAATGTCTATAAAATGAGGCCCTAAATCATTGGTTTAGATTTGAGGACTGATTAACAGTGAAATAAATGAAAATAAGGGATTAAAGTGTTTTATGTGTAGGAAAGTGATAAAATACCAGTGCTTTTGTATGCTATTTGAGTGTAATATATTGGATTAGATGTATAGTGTTTGTCCCTTAATATGTTACACAACATTCTTTAACACATTTTTTTGTACAAAACATTGAAATAGTTTTTTGTTTTGTGGCATTTAATAGTCTCATTCACTAAAACACATTTACAATATTTGCTTACATTTAGTGCCAAATATATGTAATTTTATTTAATATTTATTAACATTGAGTTTTTAAAAGTTTCTCTAAAGAGAGACAAAAAATTTCTTTCATAAACACATCATTAAATTTTATTTTATTAAATTATTACCGTTTTAACTATAAATCCATAGCTTGTTATTCTGCATTAAATATATTAATATTGTACCGGTATATTGTAATATAATATAATTTTGGGCACTTATACTATTAATCTCATTTTATTTGTACTGTACATTATATAATATTTAATATAAACTACAATATCCTATAATTCATGTAACTATAATATTGTATTAATTATAAATTATTATTATTGCATAATAATTTAACTATAAGATAAAATATGTTATTTTAGTAGTTTAGTAATGTGTTTTTACTTATCATTTAAGTATATAATTCAAACATATTAAACTTATTGTTTAAAGAAAATTAAAACAATACTAGTCACTAAATGTTAATAAATTCATTAAACATAAACTTATAAATATTTTAGTAAATTAAATACTTTTATCTAATTATAAAATAAAAAATTATTATATAAGTATACAATAAAAATTACATTTAAAACAGTTTACAGTTTAATTATTGTATAAATAAAAACAACTTTGTGAATATAACAAATTATTATTATTTAAATTAAATATATTAAAATATATTGTATTTGAATATAAATTAGTATATAATAATAAAATATATTTTTTATTCAATATAAATTTTATTATTTAATTAATATTACATTTATTTAAGCTAATCACATATTTTTTACAAAACAAATTACTTGTCACATAGTGTTAAATGTCGAGTTATATACACTATACTAAAGTATAAATATTCAAATTATAAATTGAGAAAAACAAACACTTTAAACAAATTTATAAAACAAAAAGTAATATATATATATATAAAGTATATTGTATATAAATGTCAGCAAAAAAACACTAAAACTCAAAGTAAAAAAATTAACTTAATTTTAAACGCATATCATTGCCACTTAAAAAGCAAACAGATTTTTTTTAAAGCAATGCATTAGTGATATCAGGAGTATTTTTTCCCAAAAAAAGTTTTTACTTACAATATATTTATTTGTGATATTTTTTAAGAGGGAGACCACCTTAAAGTATAGATATGCGGTTAGTTTAAAGATAATAGCCTGGCTTCTTTATTAATCATTATAATTTTATTATGTATACTTCAAAATGATGCTTAAATGACTCCTACAGTAAAATATCTACTGTTTCATATATATAGTCGTTTATCTTTATACTTTATTTATTATTTATTACAATTTATTTATAGATTAGCCCCAGTGATGACTCTCACGGCTGCTTAAATACCGTCTGTATGTCTCAACATATATATTGGTATAAAATACTATAGTTTTTGTATAATTTGATATACAGTATAAATGTATATATTCTTATGTCTGTTTCCAATTAATTTATATATTACTATTCAAGTCATCAAACAATTTACCAGAAAGAGATAGATAGATAGATAGATAGAGAGAGAGAGAGAGAGAGAGAGAGAGAGAGAGAGAGAGAGAGAGAATTATTAGAAGACATGTTTTAGTCCTATTTGTTAAATGCGGAGACAATTTTGATCTCATAAAAGCATAAAATTTAATATAGATTATAGAAAATCTAATAAAATAATCAAACTGTTTATCAATATATTTGCAACATAAATTGTTTTATTTTATTATAACCAAACATAAAACTTATATTAAAATAAAAATTTAAATAATCTAACGCATTTATTATGTAATATCTGTATAAAAATTTTTTTTGGGTAATATTTATTAAAATTCCAACAATTGATAATCAAAAATAATGCCAAAAATGTGTGAGTAATGCATTCATTGAGTCCACTGTTCACACCAATGCCTCTTAAATTAACTGCAAGTTTGCAATTCTCACTCCTTTTTATACATTATTGATAACCGCCAGAGCTTTCATACCCACGTAATTGACCGACACTTTGATGGCTATCGAGTTTGCAGTAAAACTGATACCAATAATAAATGAATAACACTGTAATAGTTTTAATCACTTAAAGGATATTCACAGAAATTACTAAATAAAACACATGAATATGAATAATCATATATTCTTTGAACATAAACGGATTCATAGTATTGTTAGATCGGTGTCGGCACTGGCATTATCCAGGATCTCATCAATAGATATATACAGACAATTAAATGGTAACACATATTAATCTAATGGTAGCACATATTTAGTTGCATTGGATAAATGTCTTCAAAACAAACGGCATCTTTGAAAAACATGAAAGAGTGGATCAAATCATTAACAAAATCAAATGAAAGCCACTTTTAAACTCCTAATTAAGGAA